AAATTTTCCCTCATTTTGTTACTTCTTAGCAGTAGAACCTCACTACTTAGAACACTTTGAAATGCGTTTTCTTCCTTTATAGGACTGAAGGACCCAGGTCATTATCCTTTATTCCTCTCATTATCACCCCCTTTCTTGCAATGCCCCAGCAACCACACAAGATCTTCAGAGTTCCGGGGCAGCCCCTGCCACCAAATCTCTTTTCAGTTAGGACTTTGAGCCCTTAAGCTCCCAGACTATAACCGACCTAGGGTGTGAACAAATTTTTTTGACTCTTAAAACCAACAAGACAAGGTCTGATTTTTTCCAAAAGATTTTATTGATATGGCAGGATAATTTATGGAGATACTAATACCCCACATTTCCCCCTTTAGCCCTTCCAAGCAGGTAGCCAAGCCATTTGTATTCCATCATCTCGGCATGTCTAAAGAATGGAAAGCTGAAGCTTTGAAGATGGTGCCTTTTCCTGTCCATTGTTAGAGTCTGAGCTCACTGAAGAAATTATGCTAGATGTCTGAGAGGGAAAAGGGGAGGGGGTGCCTTTATTTAAAACTGGAGGCTGGGAAGGAGCATAGACTGGTATGTCCTCAATCCCCTCCCAGCGCCCTGGACAGGTGCCAAGATCTATGATCTGCTTAGAAAGGCTAGACCTTTAAACACTGAGGTTCCCAAACACAGCAAGGATTCCCATGCTCTGGGAAACAAGAGTCCCTGCATTTCAAGGATCTGTGTGGCTTCAACCATAGGAATTTCAGTAGTAACCAATGTGTGCCGGAGACTGGAAAGTTCTCTCCAAATACTATGTAAGATCTGGGAGAGTAAAGGAGAGAAAACTGACGGAGATTAAATTTTCCTGCCATCCTGTTAAATATTAACAGTTAAATATTTTGAACATCACTCTTGATAATAATTACCTCTTGAGACTGTCATAAGGCTTAAAGTGGATTCGGTCAAAACATGCTAATGACAATTGACCCTTACCAACTCCTCCCTGCCCCCTCCAGCATGGATCCTTAAGCCATCTTTTTGGATCCAGGGCCAAATTAGATTTCTGCTATACAGCTGCCATAGGATTTGGCCCTCATCTGGCCTTCAAAGATTTTTTTAAATCACCTAAGCAATTTCTCTCCCCTGTTCAGTTTCAAACTAGCAGCTTCTATTGTTGTTGTTGTTTTTAATAACAGCTATATTAGGATATAATAAACATACCATAAAATGGACTATTTTAAAGTATACAACTCAGTGGTTTTTAGGATATTCACAAAGTTGTGCAACCATCACCACTAATTCCCGAATATTTTCATCACCTCCAAAAGAAACCACACATCCAGTTGTAGTCATTTCCCTTCCCCCGGGGGGCCCTGGCAACCACTAATCAACCTTTTCTCTCCATAGGCTCACTTAACCGGAAATCTCATATAATTGGAATCGTTCAATATGTGGCTTTTTGTGTCTGCCTTCTTGCTTTCAAGTTCACCCACGTTGTAGCATGTATCTGTACTTCATTCCTTTTTACTGGCAAATAAGATTCCATATATAGATCAGCCAAATTCGGTTTATTGCTTCTTTTTTTTTTTTTTTAAAGATTTTATTTATTTATTTGAGAGAGAGAATGAGAGAGAACACATGAGAGGGCAAAGCAGACTCCCTGCTGAGCAGGGAGCCTGATGCGGGACTCGATCCAGGGACTCCAGGATCATGACCTGAGCCGAAGGCAGTCGCTTAACCGACTGAGCCACCCAGGCGCCCCTCTTTTTTTTTAAGCAATCTCTACACCCAAGGTGGGGCCCAAGCTCACTACCACGAGATCAAGAATTGGATAGGATGCTCTAGCTTACCGACTGAGGCAGCCAGGCGCCCCTATTGCTTCTGTTTTTAAGTAAAGATAATTTAGTCTTTTGAAGCTGACATCTGAGACTTATTATCTTTTTTAGGATTGAAAATAGAATGTTTTTTTTTTTTTTAAAGTAAGCTCTATGCCCAACATGGGGCTTGAACTATATGACCCCAAGACCGAGAGTCACATGCTCTACCAACTAAGCCAACCAGGTACCCTGAGAATAGAACATATTAAGAATGGGCTCACTTGGTAGAATATGTGACTCTTGATCTCAGGACTGTTAAGTTCGAGCCCCACATTGGATGTAGACATTCCTGGGGGAAAAAAAAATCTTAGGAAAAAAAAAAAAGAATGGACTCCAATTAGAATCCACTGAAATTCCTCCCAATCACCAAAAGGCTTCTTTTTCTCCCTCTTTCAAAGTTGATTGCTGATGGGTTATTATGCCCAATAACTACCTGTTTTCTGTCCAAGATGTTTGAACCTTTAAGCTAATTTTCAAAGGCCATGAAGCCGATACTGGGTCTCCTTTCCTCCCAAGGGAATGGTTTTCTAGTTTGTGTGCGATGTTTTAATATTAAAATTACCTTACAGATTTTGTATACACGTTTTTGTAAATATATAGAATATCTCTGAAAGTATATGTATGTAAGAAACTGGTAAAATTGCTTGTCTATGGGAAGGGGATGTAGGGGGACTGGGATGGAAAGCTTACTTCTTATTCTATCCTTTTTCACTCTATATCCTTTTGTAAATTGTTCAAAATAAATAAAAATAATAATTACTTCATAAATAGCAAACAGTAATAAACTTGACTAGATGTATGAGGCTTGTTTATTTGAAAGGGACTTTTTTTTTTGGTAAAGATTTTATTTATTTATTGGTCAGAGAGATAGAGACAGAGAGAGAGCACACAAGCAGGAGGAGGGGCAGGCAGAGGGAGAGGCAGGCAGAGGGAGAGGCAGGCTCCCTGCTCAGCAAGGAGCCCGATGTCAGACTCATCCCAGGACCCTGGGATCATGACTTGAGCTGAAGGCAGACGCTTAACTGACTGAGGCACCCAGGTGTCCCTGAAAGGGACTTCTTAAATTATTACACTGACCTTGCAGAACGCACATATTCTCGAGGTGGTTAAGCGTCTGCCTTCAGCTCAGGTCATGATCTCAGGGTTCTGGGATCACACCCTGTGTCTGGCTCCCTGCTCAGAGGGAGTCTGATTCTCCCTCCCCCTCTGCCTGCCACTCCCCCTGCTTGTGCTCTCTGTCAAATAAATAAACAAACAAAATCTTTTTTTAAAAAACCATACACACACATATTCTCATCCCTCAAGCCTTTGTGACTGCTGTTCCCTTAGCTTGGCTTGCCCTTCTCCTCTTTATCTTCCCTTTTACCCCAATAAAATCTGACAACTTGTGTAATTTTTTAATTTACAAAGCATTTTTAGATACAACAGGATCTAATCTTCAAATGCAAAATATACAGTAAGTATATTTTTATCTTCATTTAATAAATAAGAACACTGAGGCTTAGAAAGTGTAGCAGCTTGTCCCAGATCACAAGTATTACATTTCAGAGCTAGAATTCAAATCTACAACGTCTGACAAGTTAAGTGCTCTACCTTTTCTTTTTTTTTAAGCAATGAAATCCTATTTCTTTAATGGGGCAACTCAGTAAAAATGTACAAAGATGTTTACTAAAGTGTTGTGATATTTTAAAAAAATATTTTAAGTAATCTCTACACCCAAGGTGGGGCTCCAACTTAAAACCCTGAAATCAAGAGTTGAATGCTCTACCAACTGAGCCAGCCAGGCCACACAACCGTTGTGAAATAATATTACACAATAAATACTACTCAGTTACTAAAAATTATCATGTAAATCTGTATTTACCATGGAAAACTTGGAAAAACATCCATGATACTGTATACAGTGACTAAAGCAAGTTAAAAACAGAGGTACAAATTTAATGCTTAAAAAAAAGTGTTTATGTGTAGAAGAAAGCTGAAAGGATATACGGGAAAATGTTTTTTAAACGTCAATACTCTAGGGGCGCCTGGGTGGCTCAGTCGTTAAGCGTCTGCCTTCGGCTCAGGTCATGATCCCAGGATCCTGGGATCGAGCCCCGCATCGGGCTCCCTGCTCCGCATCGGGCTCCCTGCTCCGCATCCGGCTCCCTGCTCCGCATCCGGCTCCCTGCTCCACATCGTGCTCCCTGCTCTGCAGGAAGCCTGCTTCTCCCTCTCTCACTCCCGCTGCTTGTGTTCCCTCTCTCGCACTCTGTCAAATAAATAAAATTAAAAAAATAAATAAATAAAAGTCAATACTCTAAAAAGTAGTATATTACTACTAATAGATAAAACACGTTAAATGCTCAATCTGTGCCAAATGCTGGGCTAAATCTATTTTACATGTATTGTCTCATTTAATCCTCACAATAACCAACTTGCCTAGGACCTTGCTGCTAAAAATGCAGCTGAACTGGACAAGTATCAGACTCCAAAGCTCATGCTCTTTGGAGCTAGAGCATCTTGCTTCATATACAAAGATCATTTATATTATAATCAGAGAAACCCATGAGTTTAAGAAAATTGGTTCAAAACTCCACTTCCCCAGGTCTCTGAATTCCCCTAACAATGTTTGTCTTACAGCACCTAGGAGCAAGCTCATTAGCATATAATTGGTTGGGTCCCCTTCTCTACCTATCTTAGATCTGATGCTGGCAGGCCTGAAACCCAAGCCCACTTTGCGTGCTCCTTACGTGTTACAGTGAAATGTGCTCTTAACTCGGCTCAAGGAGCGCTAGAATTGAGGAGCAGTGCTCACACGATATTAAGAATATCTTTCCAAGAAATGTTGAGTCGGGCCAAAGAGAGGCCTCTTCGTTTCCCTCTCACATGGCGGCCTCCTTGCTTGCACCTTCTTTATCCTCTCTCCCTCCCCAGCCCTCTCCCCCAACCGAGGCCGGTAGCCCGAGGGTGTCCTCGGTCGCAGGCCTGCCGCGGCCGGCCGCCACCAGACCCGCACTCTTGCTCTCAAGAAAGGAACAAGGAGGAGGCCTGGAGCGGACTTCCACGTGGGCACGGGGGCGGCCATCTCGCGTCCTGGCAGGAGCGGTCTGCGGGGCCCGAGCAGCAGCCAGACCTGGGAAGCTGCTGCCCGTACTCAAGATGGCGGCCGTGGAGGGCGTGGCCAGCGACTCAGAGGTTCCGAAAAGGTGCGGAATCATGGCGGCGGCTGAGGAGCGGATTCGCGAGGACCGAGAAGAGGAAGAAGAGGAAGCAGTGAGTGGCACGGCGGCGGCCTGCGCGGCGCGGGCGGCGTGTGGGGCAGGGCGTCGGGATGCGGCTGGCGGGAGGGAGAGCCCCGGGCGCGCGGAGCCGGGAGCGCCGGCCTCGGCCCTAGCTGCCACACAGTAGTTAGACTGGGGAAGTGTAGAAAGTTACCTTAGGCAACGTCGCTTCCTCTCGTTGAAAGCAGGACCTAGGGTTCACAAAGGTTGGGATCACTGCAGTGGGGATTTTTGGCTTCGCTTATTAACTGCCTCTTCTGCACACTCCCGTGCTAGCATGTTAACTCCTCTTTCTTCCACCAGGAGCAGTTGGTTCTGGTGGAATTGTCCGGAATTATTGATTCAGACTTTCTATCAAAATGTGAAAATAAATGCAAGATTTTGGTGAGTCTTCTAGAATTGGGGGATTTCTGTAGATTTTCTTACATTTAAACAAGAATGAATAGTGAAATACGTATCCCCAAAGATCTATTCCTCGTTACAAAGCACTGAATTCTAAGGACAATCATAGAGAAGTACAGAGGGACTATGGGAGCAAATGGGAGAAAATGCCATACTTTGCTTGAGTGTCCGAATGTGTGCCCTGGGAGAGTTAAAGATTTAGAAGAGGTTAGCATTTTGTTACCAACCTATATATTTCGAAAAAATACATTGTTTTAGATAGTGAGCAGGGAGAGAAAACAGTGAAGACAGGCCATTTAGATATGCACACAGATTAACTGGAGAAGGGAGGAAAGAAGCCTACAAAGAAAAGAATTTAAAGACCTCACGCTCTACTGTTGACTTGAGCTGTGGTGTCATGTTACCATCAGTTTTTATCATTTTACTTAAAAATCTTTGAGCTTGGGGGGTGGGGGGATGGGTTAGCCTGGTGATGGGTATTAAAGAGGGCACATACTGAATGGAGCACTGGGTGTTATACGCAAACGATGAATCATGGACACTGCATCAAAAACTAATGATGTAATGTATGGTGATTAACATAACATAATAAAAAAAAATCTTTGAGCTACTGTTGACAAGACTTTTTCTGTTCCTGCCTTAACTTGAAGAGGGGGTTGATTGAAATACAGCTTGCTACTTGGATATGAATGAAGCATTGTAACTGCTGTGAGTGAGCAGAGCATTTTTAGCTTACCTTGCACTTGCTAGGACAAGCTCCAGAGGTTCCCCAGTTTTGGAGATCACTCTCCTTGGTAGCAAGGCTACATATTGAAGCCTCTTTATTTTTTTGGTTTTAATTGAGATATAATTGACATATAACATTACATTTCAGGTGTACAGCATAATGATTTAATAGTTGTTTGTACTTACCACAGTAAGTCTAGTTAACATCCATCACTACACACGGTTACAATTTTTTTCTTGTAATGAGTTTTTGTTTTTTTTTTTTCCAATTAAGCAAAGCTCGGTGCCCAACATGGGGTTTGAACTCACAACCCTAAGATCAAGAGTTGCATGCTCTACAGACAGCTAGCCAGGCACCCTGTTGTAAAAACTTTTAAGATGTTACACTCTTAGCAACTTTTAAGTGTACACCAAGGTATTATTAAGTAGAGTAATGCTGTGCATTACATCCCCAGGACTTAACTTATTTTATAACTGAGAGTTTGTATCTTTTGACTACCTTCACCCATTTCACCCAACCCCCCAAGGCTTGTTTTTTATAGAGGGGGAGGGAGAGGCAGAAGGCGAGGGAGAGAGAGAATCCTAAGCTGACTCCACACCCAGCACAGAGCCTGAGGTGGGACTGGATCTCGTGACGCACCCTGAGCCAAAATCAAGAGTTGGATGTGCTTAACCGAGGGAGGCACCTATGCGCCTCTGCAAGGCTTTTTCTAATGATGATTTTTTTTAATGATCCTGTATTCTGTTGCAGGGAATTGACACTGAGAGGCCCATTCTGCAAGTGGACAGCTATGTCTTTGCTGGAGAGTATGAAGGTAGGAGGATGTCAGATAGATAAAACTCCTTTTTTAATATGCTTTTCAGAGGAAGTTACTCTGTTATTTCTCAACAAGTTGCCTTCAACTTTTCTGCAGACACTCTTGGGACCTGTGTTATATTTGAAGAAAATGTTGAACAGGGTAAGTGCTTGCATTGCTGACTCAAATTTTTTACTATGAAATATTGCAAACTTCCTTTTGTACAGTAAATATTGAAATTAAACATCTCATGTGCCCATTGTCTAGCTATATCAAATCCTACCATTTTGCCAGATAGTTAAAAAACATTCCAGATACATTTGAAGCCTCGTGTGTACTCCTCTCTAACATACTCCCTTCCTCTGTCTTGGTAATCACTCCCCTGAATTTGATGTTTACTTTCCTATACCTGATTTTGTATTACATATATATGTATCCACAAACAATGAGTAGCATTTTTTTGTATATTTTCAAACCTGACACAAATTACAGCATATTATATGTACCATTGTATATCTTTGTTTCAGTTAGAGATAGGTTTTGAGATTTATACATGTTGGTATGTATAATTCTATTTTCCCTGTTGCTAAGTATTCTGTTTGTGACCATACCACAGTGTATTCTCCAGTTACTGGACATGTTGATTGCTTCCATTTTTTACCAGTAATTTTTAATAGCTATGAAAATTTATTGAATGCCTTTTATATGTCAGGCATTGTTCTAAATGCTACATGTATTAACTCCTTTAATCCTCATCACAAGTCTGTGAGGTAGATACCTTTTTGTCTTCATTTTATATTTGAAGAAACTGAAACACAAAGAGGTAAATAGCATTCCCAAAGTCATACACGAAGTAAGAGACAGAGCTGGGATTTGAGCCCAGGTGGTCTCGTCCAGAGCCCGTGATCTTAACTATGCTTATTAACTCACTGCAGAAATGCTACCATGAGTATTTTGTGTCTCCTTGTGCGTGTATGCAAAAATGGCTCAAAGATACACACTTAGAAATGGAATTACCAGATTGCTGAGTGTGTGTTAGGTTTAACCATATGAAGTGACCAACTTGAACTAAATATGGACAGTTTCATGTGGTTCAGCCTTATAGGTAGTGGTATGATCCTTTCTAAAGTGTGTGTCAGTGACACATAGCAGTGTCTGGAAGTTTTCAGTGTGCTTCACACCTCTAACTCAGAGCCTTATCCTCCCTCCTGCCTGCGCCCACAGTTTCCTATAAAGCTGTAACCCCAGGCAGCATGTTGGCAGCAGGTTTTTTCTCAGCCTTCTTTGTGATTGAGAATGTCCTCACGCCAGTGTCTGGCTCCAAGTAGTAAGTCTGACTTTGGTGCTTCATTTAGAGTGGTAGAATTTGAGACACCATTACCCTGTAAGGCAATTCCTTGTCCCACTTCCCTACTTCAGGGCTGGAGCCTAGCAGGCCAATAGATTTAATTTCACTCACAGCTTTGTGTTTTGGTCCTCTGGAGATGTTTGTTGTTTTGGGGTCCACCTGTGCCTTCAGTTGTTACATATTTTATCTGTCATTTCTCTGTGCTGGGAGCAGGACGGATGAGTTAAATTTTGAACTTACTACACTATCTCAACAGGAAGTAGTTTAGTCTCACTCTTTGAACTGGAGTTATTGAGGCTTAACATGATTATTTGGTGGCATCAACAGTAAGATAATTGAGTTCATTTTATGTTCTAGGTGATGCAGAAGGCAGTAGTAAAACAGTGCTAAAATATAAATGCCATACAATGAAGAAGCTCAGCATGACAAGAACTCTTTTGACAGAAAAGAAGGAAGGAGAAGAAAGCATAGGTTAGTTCACTTAGTTCTCTGAAAGTAGGTGATTTACTATTCGCTTTGACAATGACACATTGTTGCCAGCACATTCCTTGTACTTTGTACTAACAACTATGTTTTATGGAAATTGAGAGTGCTTCCTGAAAAGTATCAGATACAGATTTAAAATTCATTTGAATTATAGGGGTGCCTGAGTGGCTCAGTCGGTTGAGCTTCTGACTCTTGATCTCAGCTCAGGTCTTTTTTTTTTTTTTTTTTTTAAGATTTTATTTATTTGCCAGAGAAAGAGAGTACAAGCAGGGGGAGCGGCAGGGAGAGGGAGAAGCAGGCTCCCACTGAGAGCCCGACATGGGGCTCGATCCCAGGACCCCAGGATCATGACCTGAGGCGAAGGCAGACGCCCAACTGACTGAGCCACCCAGGCATCCCTCAGCTCAGGTCTTAATCTCATGGTTGAGTTCGAGCCCCGTGTTGGCCTCTGCTCTGGACATGGAGCCTACTTTAAAAAAAAAAAAGATAAAATCCAAAATTTCATTTGAACTTGAGTGTAGCAGAGGGCACTGGTGACATGTAAGAAATTTCTTACCTACTTTGCATTGGAGACAACTGTGAGGAGTTTGTCGAGAAACTTGATAGATTTCCAACCCCTAGGGAATTCAGCAGCCACCATCCCCCACCCCCTTAATTAAAACTTCTTTGTAAGTGGAGATGATAGGATCTGGATGCTCAAGATGAAACCCCAGAGGATCTCCTGGAAACTTGTGGCAGTGGTGGCAACCTTCCCCAGGAAGCTAATAACTGGAAGAAGCTGGCTTTATATGTGAGGGAGGGACTCTAGGACCACAGTTGTTGGACCTGAGTTTCATTCTTAACTCACATCCACTGAGCCTTCTCCAGTTGCTGGTCATCCCAAAGTAGAGACTTTAGACCAGTGCTTCTTTTTTTTTTAAAAGATTTTATTTATTTATTTGACAGAGAGAGACACAGCGAGAGAGGGAACACAAGCAGGGGGAGTGGGAGAGGGAGAAGCAGCCTCCCCGCAGAGCAGGGAGCCCGATGCGGGGCTCGATCCCAGGACCCTGGGATCATGACCTGAGCCGAAGGCAGACGCTTAACGACTGAGCCACCCAGGCGCCCCAGTCACTTGATAGTTTCAAAGCTCATTGCTCATAAGTGAAGTAAGAGAAGGAAAGATAAATGATTTCACTTATATGTGGAATAGAAAAAACAAAACAAACGGATAAACAAAAAGCAGAAACAGACCCATAAATACAGAGAACAAACTGGTGGCTGCCAGAGGGGAGGGAGTGGTGGGATGGACAAAATGATTGAAGTGGAATGGGAGATACAAGCTTCCAGTTATACATGAGTAGGTCATGGGAGTTAAAGGTACAGCATAGGGTATAGTCCGTGGTATTGTAACAGGGTTGTGTGGGACAGATGGAAGCTACAGTTGTGGTGAGCATAGCGTGATGTATAGACTTTGCAAATCACTATGCTGTATACCTGAAACTAATGTCACGTTGTCCGTTATATTTCAGATTTTTTTTAAAGATTTTATTTATTCATTTGAGGGAGAGAGAGAAAGAGGACAAGCAGGGGGAGGGGCAAAGATAGGAGGAGAGGGGAAGCCAACTTCCCACTGAGTGGGGAGCCCGACATGGGGCTCAAGCCTAGGACCTAGAGATCATGACCTGAGCCAAAGTCAGACACTTAACCAACTGAGCCACCCAGGCGCCCCTCAGTTATACTTCAGTTTTAAAAAATTCACATAATTTGAAAAAAAAAAAACCAAAAACCTCATTGCTCAAAGACATATTTCAAACTCTAGTAAACATGACTCTAGTGATGGATATTTATGGCTTGATATTTATGGCTTGATTTATTGTATTTTAAGGAATAACTATTTGAAGGTATATTAATCATGTAGAAATTAATTATACCAGTTACACATAAGTACATAAAAAATCATTGTTCCTAACATGTATATCCTCAATGTCTCCTCCTTTTTATCACTGTGTGAAAATAACAGGAAGAGGTACTTGAAGTTCTAGAAAGAACTTGAAAGGTAGATACATATCAGATAGCTTAGCTATTATTTAGATATTCTTTTTTATTTTTATTTATTTATTTATTTATTTTTAAAGATTTTATTTATTTATTTGACAGAGAGAGACCTAGC